TGCTGTAGCAGGGCCCCAGACCTTAGCAGACCCCTAGACCTTAGCACAGCTGACTCCATGGTGGAGGTGCCATTCAGGCTGTAAAACTCAGCGTGCAGACAGCACCACCTGCTAAAAATGAAAACAAAGACCCAATCCATCAAAGTCCATAGCTATGGGACAGTCTCTGAATGTGCTAACCTTGCTTTTCTGTTTTTGTGGTTCTGCTTCTGGCTAACTGTTCTTGTTAACTGAAGTGTGTCCACCCAGGACATGGTTTTTGTTGTTAAAAGCTCACCCTGAGGAACTCTCAGAACTATACTGGGATGTAGTTGCTGATGAACTAATAAAGACTTTCTATTGGCTTAGCTCCATGTCCTAGCTGTCTTCTCTAGTGAATACTCAATAATACATACACCTAGTTTAATAGGGAGAGAACACAGGAGACAGTGTGATAAAAGTGTTTCTGACTGTTGCTCATCCGTGAAGATACCAGAGCATGTTGTACTTCTCTTGTAACTTTTCTCTAGTTTTAACGTTTTTGGGTTTTTTTTCCCACACCAGGTGTGGTAATTCTCTAAGAAATGTTGAATAGTCAATCTATCCTGTAAAACCCTGTTTTAAAAAAATTCATACTTATCCCTTTTCTCTTACTGCTGAACATCTACAGGTTCCCAGACATGTTTATTCAATTCAGTGATCTCTTCTAAAAAGATTTAATCTCTTCTATAAAACAATAGCACAACTATTTCAAATTACTAAAAGAAGAAATGTTTGTTTAGCCAGATGTGACCATCTCAAAATGATTAAACTGTTCTCTCTCTCTCTCTCTCTCTCTCTCTCTCTCTCTCTCTCTCTGTCCCTCCCTCCCTCTCCCTCTCATCCTTTCAAGCCATTTTACAAACTAGCTGATCAGGTGTAGAGAAGATGAAGATTTCAGGTTCTGGTATTTGAAATAATTAACCTGTAAAGTTGATAGTTCACTGAGGATTTGGCTTGCTGTGCTGCTCTGGAGCTTTCTAGAATCTGGGTCCTGCAGCTCCTCAGCAGACTTGGATTTCTGTAGTCCTTTGTCTCCTCTATCTAGACTCTCCAAGGTCTCTGTTCCTGGCTGCTTTCTGGAACTTTTCAGCCCTCCCTCTAGCTGCTGTTGACTGTGCCTGGGATTCATAACACCAGAGTAGCCCTGTTCTTGTTAAGAGCTTAATCCACTCTGTCTGTTATTAAAACCGTAAGTAGACAATAAAAAACTCAGATAAGGTTTACTGGAGCCTAGGCTGTAACACCCAAGCCAGCAATAAGTACGAGGAAGGGCTCCCAGACTGCTCCTTGAAGATTGAGGTAAGTCAGTCATACACATGTCTTGACTTCATGGGCCAGGAGTATACCTACCAAGACTAAAAGACTGTTATAAAGAGTTCAGACTTGTCTGTAGGCAGGGTTATTTGGCATGAATGTAGGTGAGTCATCTTAAGTTGTCATGGCCAAAGTGAAACCTTCTGAAGAAAAGCCATGAAAGTGACAGCAGCCATGACAGTGGTTGTGCTTCCACAGACTGGAACAAACTCCCCGTGGAGCATCACAGTTGAACTTCCCTCTGGGTCACTGTGGCTGGCTCAGAGTCTCCCTGAGCTGTCACAGCAGTTTTAAAATGGGAAAGTGTGCTAAGGGTGGTCTCAGGATCCCTTTAGAAACTGGTTCTTCAATTTAGGTGATGGTTGGATGATGATTGCTGGCTCCCAGGAGTTTCTTCAAGAACAGCAACCATATTCGTAACAATCCCAAAACTTAGAACCCAGAAGACAATAGGAGCTTCCATTCCTGGTCAGTCAGAATCAGTTGCTGCACCAGGGTCAAGGATGGGCCTGACAGCTGTCATCAAGTGGCCAGTAACGTAATTTAAAAGGAAAAAACCATTAAGCATAATTTACAGCAAAAGTCTGTCATGAAATTAATGTTCTTACCTTGCTTATCTTCTAACCAAATGGCATTTAACAGATATGTGAGTTCTTCCAGACTTAAAAATAAAAGACTTGAAGCCTAGCCTGCGCTGGTGAGATTTAGCGGTTGGCATAACCCTAGTCTGCTTTAACAAGCAGAGCTAGCCCTTACACTTTATGCAAATATCTTCCGTAATTTGCTTTTCTTAGACCCAAGCCCTGCCAGCCTGTGCCTAACCACCCACGAAAATATGCTATCTTTGTGCTTCCTGTTATTGAACTATTTGACAAAGCTGGTTAACTTCAAAACTTCCCTCAAAAATTTTAGTATGCCCCTTCCTCTTTCCACCATCACCTGTTCCCCTACCCCCGTTGTTTTTTTGATTTTGTTTTTCATGACAGGGTTTCTCTGTATAGGCCTGGCTGTCCTGGAACTTGCTCTGTAGACCGGCCTGGCCTTGAAAGTGAAGATCAAGTTGCCTCTGCCTTGGGAGTGCTGGGATCAAAGTCAAGTGCCGCAATGCCCAGCTTACTGTGTTTCCTCTCTTGTATATAAAATTTTGTTTTGTGGGAATTGCTACCCAGAGTTATATTTCCCTGCCCCCATTTGAGGTGCTTATCTGCAAAGAATCATAACTTCCCTCTGCTCCTGGAGTTGGATGAGGAAGTTTGAGTGCACGTGATTATTCCTTGATCCCTGCTGGGGTCAGGTGACAGTCCCTACTGGGGACAGGTGAAGGTGGAGTGCACGTGATCAGTCCTTGACCCCTACTGGGATCAGGTAAGAGTTCCTCCTTGGGTCAGGTGACAGTCCCTTCGCAGCCCCCTCCCCATTTGGTGCCATGGTATAAAAGCTAGCCCCAGCAGAACAATAAACAAGCTGCTGTTTCACCTCAACCTCGTGCTCTGTGGATTTCAATCAACCTGGACACCCTCCGCCGAGACTCGTGGTTCCAGACCGTGCTGGCGCGGTATTGTTTATTTATCTCTTCTCTGAGACGTGCGTATGCTTCCTACATAGACACACATGCATGAATTTGTTAAGTCAGATTTAAATTTTTAACTGGCCGAGTCACTGTTCTGCTGTTGTGAAGAGACACCATGACCAAAGCAACGCTTTTATTTTATTATTTCTTCATGTAGCTCTGCCTGTTCTGAACTCGCTCTGTAGACCAGGCTGGCCTCAAACTCACTGAGATCCACCCACCTCTGCCTACTTGAGTGCTAGAATTAAAGGTATATGCCACCACTGCCTCAAGAAAACACTTATAAAAAGAAAGTATTTAACTGGGGGCTTAGGTTTTCACAGGTTTAGTCCATTACCATCACAGTGGGGATATCAACGGCACACACGGTACCGGAGCAGTAGCTGAGAGCTACATCCTAATTTGTGGCTTATGTTGTCTTGAGTGGATCTCTATATTACAATTGTCTCCTTTTTTAAAGCTTGGCCTTATTAAGGCCAGACATCATATTTTTGCTATCCTATCAGAAAAGGTTGAAGGTCACTAATTCCTACAAATTGCTAATTTCTAGGTTATAAATTTAAGGCTAGTGACTTTTGCGTAACAGTACTTATGCTTTACCTATAATAAAGTAAGTTTATGGAATCTGATAATATAATCCCTACCTATCCTGTTTAAATCCAGTTCAATACGTTAGCTTGTTGGGTGAGTGAGCTGCTTGTTGGTTCCTGCTGCCCAGAGTTAAGATAATCACACAAAAACTATGTTAATTAAATCACTGCTTGGCCCATTCGCTCTAGCTTCTTATTGGCTAACTCTTACATATTAATTTAACCCATTTCTATTTATCTGTGTATCGCCATGTGGCAGTAGCTTACCAGTAAAGTTTCAGTATGTCTGACCCTGGCAGCGGCTCCATAGCTTCTCTCTGACTCTGCCCTTCTTCCTCCTAGCATTCAGCTTCATTTTCTTCACCTAGCTAAATTCTGCCCTGCCATAGATCCAAAGGAGTTTCTTTATTCATTAATGATAATCACAGCATATGGAGGGAATCCCACATCACCTCCTCTTTTCCTGTTTAAACAAAAAGGAAGGCTTTAACATAGTAAAATTGCATACAGCAAAACAGGTACCAAGCAAGAATTACAGTTACAATATTTATATATACTTTATCTTCTATCATAATTAAGAAAAACTATAACTATAAATTCTTCAACTCCATCAAAGACTCCAAAAAATATAATATTACCTAAGTAAACATGAAGTGCATTGTAAGCAACTTCCAAAATTCTAGAATTGACAGAGACATCTCGCTGCCAGGACAGTCATCCAAAGTTCTTCTGTACCATTGGTGCATCCACTGTAATGATGGCACTACTATGTGTACTACGGTACTATACGTGTAGTGTGGCGCCTGCACTACAGGATCATTTGCGAATTGGGCAAGGGCCTGGAGACTTAAACACACAAAGACACACAGACAGAGACACGGGTCATCCTTGAAACAAGAATGCCAACTTTATTGTGTACTAGAGTCTATTATATATGGATCCTTAACTGATAGCCATGCCCCAGCCAAACACACCAGAAACCGCTCCCCTGCCATCAGGAACTCCTGAGGGTCTCGTGCTCAGAGCAGCTGCAAACACAGGAAAACAAGTTGTTTTGCTCAGAGCAGCTGCAAGTATAACAAGTGAAAGACCCCAAAAGTCAAGGGGGTCTCACTTGGAGCCCTCTGCCCAAGAACAAGTCCACTGGATGCAAGAACAGGAGGCAGTTTATTGGATACACAGGGGCCTGCGGACGCTACAGCTACCAAGTTACTGAGCATGCCGGGCTGAAGGCACATTATGTATTTACAGGGATTTAAGAGTTACATAAGAGGCTGCATAGCAACAAGCATTTCATTGGTTCCCAAATTGGGGGGCTTAGCTCACCCCGGGAATGGCCCCCTGTCTATTCTCAAATTTCCCCGAAAAACCACAAAGCTAGATAGAGAACCCTGCAGCAAGTTGACAGTTTTGATAGAATGCCTCAAGGGTGGGGTACTCCCTCTCCTCAGCCTAGTCAGCGAGTCTACAACCCATAGATATCCTGTTTCAGCATCGGCTGGGAGGGGGGAACTTTCCTTCTATGGCCCAACTAAATTTCGCAGAGTCATTAGCTGAGCCTGGGGGCTTTCTTTCTATGGCTCAGTTAAGTTTCAGCACAATTTAACATAGTATGTGGACATGGGGGTCTTTCAAGTATGGAGGGCCCTTCACAAGTTGTTTACAGGAAATTCAGAGTCTGGGGCCACAGTCCCCAACAATACATCTTCAGCCTACAGGCCCATAGTATCTGGCAGACTTTTCAACGAAGCAGGAAATCTCAAAGACAGTTCTGACTATATTGACAGTTTGTCAGTCACTTTCTTTTGTGTCCTGCAGAATGTCTGGCAGACTCTTTCATGAAGTGAAAGACCCCCAGTGTGGGGTGACACTCACTCAAGTCTCGGGATAACACAACACCTCTCCCCCCAGTAACTCACAAGAGACCGTCCTTGCTGCAATCACAGGAGGTTTAATGACAGGAACCAGTGCACTGGGGCTGAGAGTCACAACCCACACAGGGGAGGAGTTCGATCCCAAGTAAATGGGAGAAGGGGTTTTTAAGGGAAGAAACCACAGCCCAGTAATCCAAAGGGGTAGGGAGGGCATCATAGAAAATTCCAAAAATATCAATGATAATCACAAGGGGGCAACTCCCTGTTTCTCAAGATTATTCTCAGGATTACAATCTAACTTTATCTCCAGCTAGTTCCTGAAACTGAACCGGCTAATCCTAGATTTCTGATTCTTCCCTCCCTGCTTAGATTTTTGGCTCTATTTTTTCCTGCTAGGGGGATCCGGATTTATCCAGGTCTTTCAGAAGCAGGAACCCCAAGGATCATTAGCCATCTAATGTCACATTATAAAAGTATTTTATTTTGTGCTTCATTCATTTTAAAAATATTTTTACATTTTTATTTTTAACAGGATTTTCTAAGATTTTTATTGTGTGGGATCCTTACCCCTATGCTCAAGGGGATGAGAAGGAATTTCCTAGCAGAATATTTTAAAATTAGAAACCCAGACTAGCCTCATGTTCCAAAGAAAGATAGTGGCTTTCCCTTCCCCCCTCCCACCTGGGAAATTCCAAAGCACAAGGACGCCGGGCCACCTGGTGGTAAAGATGGCAGGGTGACCTTGCTCTGAAAACAAAGAACAAGCTGATGTAGCAGGATGGAAAGGAGCAAAAGATTTTGCACCCCTGCCAAAGCAGCTCGGAAAGGCTTGCTTGTAGTTCTGCCTTTAAAAACTAGCCCCATAGAGGGCTGCTAACTTCTCTCTCTCCCTCTCTACTATGGGGAGTTGGAGATGGAAGTTCTGAGCTAGGTTGTACTTGCAATAAAAGAAACCTTGCTTTTTGCAGTCTGGTCTTCTCTGGTTCCTGGTGGTTTCTCTGAGGGTCGTTATCTGTGCACAACAATTGTTGGATTCATGTGTATATGCCTGCATGAGTCTATGTGCATCATAGGTTTCCTCAGGAGCCAAACAGAGATCGAGTTCCTGGAATGGAGTTATAGGCAGTTGTGTGCTGCCTGATATGGGCGAGACGGGAACTGAACCTAGGTCCTCTGCAAGAGCAGTAAATGCTCTTAACTACCCTATTTTAAAATTTCCAATTTTGTGTGTGTGTGTGTGTGTGTGCATTTGTGTGTGTATGTATGTGTGTGTTCTGTACGTGAGTAGCTTCAGGAGAGGTCAGCAAATTCCCTGGTGTTGTAGACAGTTGCTTTTGAGATACTTGATGGGGTACTGGAAACCAAACTGGGGTTCTCTCAAGAGTAGATGTACTGTGGTACCAACCCATCTCTCCATCCCCTGCTTTGGGTCTTGATATGACCTTTGTTGTTATATATTTATAATATATGATAGTCTTTAAAATAAATGTTGAAGAAAGTTTTAGAAGATTTCTTTCATGGTTCAGAAGTAATAAAAGTAAGTTGAAGATGGTGGCTCCAAGCTTGTAATCCCAGCCTGTGGTAAGATGAGGCAGGAGAACTGCCCACTAGTCTAAGATCAGCCTAGGACACCAAGACTCTGTCTTAAAACATAAACTAATG